AAAATTGAATATATAGGCCTACTTACTTCACGTTGTCTTCAGATGAACAAATAATCTGTGACATGCCTTGGTGGTGAAACCACGCGTCTCATCAGAAGCGCGCGGCGCTGCATGACTGGATAACGCACGCAGCTATGTGACCTTGAATAACGTCAATTCTACCCCGTTCTCGCAGATGAAGCATTGTCAAATCTAATATAAGTCGATGCAAGTATCCGTCTCCTCTCTTTTTAAAAAACTTTGTTAATAATAATTAATAAAAATAAAAAATTGTTAAAATTTATTCGACATCGCCGAACGCATCAGCAACATGCATTTGTATATAGATACCTATTATTAGTTTTCATATTTTTTCGGTGCTGGGAATCCCCAGGGATCCGAGGATCACCAGTTGAAAACCACTGGCCTGGACACTGGTTAGAGGAGAGTATGGTGAACTGCTGGCATTGAAAGATTTGTTGGTCAGCCCAGCTTTCTCAGGAATAAGCACAGCTTGATATATACCTGTGAGGGTACATGAGCAAGAGATCGAGTGCCTGGTTGACACAGGAGCAGCCAGAACACTGATAGATCTTGTTATATTTCAACCCCTCCAAGTGAGACTACCACTCCAACCAGTGGGTGGTTACTGACTTCATTCTGGCAAATGGTGACAGACTAGACATAAATGGAGAGGTAGATCTCTGGCTGTGTCTAGAATGAGGGTAGACATATCCGATCTTGGATCTGCCATTCTCAGGATGCACATATTGCAGAAATTATTATGTGCAACAGGTGAACTGATGCTCTGCAGAAGAGTTATCTGATGTCTGCCAGATCAAACCTAGGAACAGTGGACTGCATGAGTGAATGTAGTAGAGGAAATAACAGTATCTCCTTATACACAAGTGGTGTAGTGCATCAGTACCATGTAATGTAGCTATAGAAGCCATGCATAAAATGAACTGTTTTCTGTCCAGGAAGCAGGCAGCATTGGCTTGAACAGTTATCTGTCTGAAGAAGAGTGAAGTCCCTGTAGTGTTTTGTAATTATGAAAAATCAGCTATCCAGCTGTACTCTAGAATGATTATAGATGGGGGTAAGCAAAGTGGAAGTAACTGAGGCTAGTAATGCTAAGGTTGTGTCCACTGCACAGTAGTTGTAAGCAAGCACATGACTACCAACACATCTGAGATTACTGGTTGAGGATTGTGCAAACAATCTAGACCCAATGCAGCAAAAGGAATTCAGGACTTGTTGGTTGAACATGGCTATATATGGCTGATTAGGTCAGACATTAATGACTTACCAAGACATAGATACAGGTGATGCAAATTTGATAAAGTAAGCATTGAAATACATTGAATGTTGAAGGATGGAGTCACATAATCAAAGAGTACTTGGTAATGTCCAGCAGTGTTTGTCAAAAAGAAGAAAGGTATGGCAAGATTTTGTGTTGATTTCAATGGGTGAAAGCAGTAATTCACATTGATACCTTTCCCTTACCATGAACAAATGGATAGATTAGAAGGTTCAACACTGGCATGCAGATACTGGCAAGTCAAACTAGACAACAAGTGCAGTCTTTAGGCTGGTTTTAACATGAGAGATGGCTTATGTGATTTTGTGTCATGCTATTTGGCATGTGTGAAGTACCTGCCAATTTCAATGGACCTTATACTCCATCATTTCCATTCCAGGTATCACCTGGTAGCCCTCCTTCAAACCCTTTCCAACATTTCAGTGTCCTTCCTAAGGTAAGGAGCTCAAGACTGAACACAATACTCCAAATGTGGCCTAACCGGTTTAGTGACCTATACAATAATATTGTAACCTCTTTAGACTTGTATTCAGTATTTCTCCTAGATATAATTTAAGATCCTATTTGATCTGCCACTAGCAAGAGCACATTGCTTGGATGGCATATGAACTAGAACATCAAGATATTTTTTATTCCATAACACTCTTAAGGTTATTTACATTCAAATTATCTGTATAATTCAAATTAAATTAATTCACATGAATTACCTTGTATTCATTATGATTAAAAGCCATCTGCCATTTAATTGTTCAACTCACCAAATTATCTAAATCCTTTTGTAAAGCAGCAGCATTCTCCTGACTGAATTTCCTTTATAATAACCTTCTGTTTTCTTCCCTGGCCCAGCATGGCCAGGTGGTTATGATACTCGACTCGTAATCTGAGGGTCGCGGGTTCGAATCCCCGTCCCGCCAAACATGCTCGCCCTTTCAGCCGT